GATGAGAAAAGGTACAAATTTGTGTATGTATTATTCGAAATTATTCAACTTTATCTTTAGTTATACTTATTTCATTTCATACTCCCTTTGCTTTTAATTGACCATATTAATTTGGCATAGGACCTAAGTATTTATTAGGCAAGTTAAAATTTTAGTTGATAATTGAAGTGTAAAAATGCGAAAAAAGTGCTACTTTCACCTAATTATTATTTACTTTTATAACAGCCCATAATTAATTCCAAAGGAAATATACTTCTAATTAATCTCTATTAGGTTAATCATCTCACTATCCTTCTTCTTCTTCCTCTCATTCATCGAGTGGGAGAGATTTTCAGTTTTCAGAAGCTAAGAAAACTCAAAAAATTCAAAGATTTTGTATTCAATGGGTGCTGTAAAAGCAGCTGTGGGTGATTTTGTTTTGACATTGATGTGGGTTTTTTGTTCTTCCACTCTTGGGATTTTCACTTACCTTATTGCTACTGCTTTTGGGATTGCTCAAGGAATGGCTTCTCTATTTATTACTACTGTGCTTCTTTTTATGCTCTTCTTTGTCTTTGGGATTATCGGCGATGCTTTGGGTGGTGCCTCTTTTAATCCTGCTGGTACAGCGGCGTTTTATGCTGCTGGGGTTGGAAAAGATTCTCTTTTTACCGTTGCCACCCGATTCCCTGCTCAGGTTTTTGATTTTGTTTCTTTTTTTTTTAAAAAAAAAAAAACCTTTTCTGGGTCCAGTTCTTACATGGTTGATTTTGTTTGAATGGACAAATATGATCAGTGAATGAGGATTTGTATAGTCGATCCGGACTTGTTTATGACTGAGGCGTAGCTGTTGTTTATTTTGCTTGAATTTTGAGGAATAATGGAAGTAGAGTTTTAATTTTCTGAAAAATCAACCTATCATAATAGCATTTGTGGTTTCCACTTTTTAAAGTGAACTTTTAAAAACCTTTTCTGGGTTTAGTTGTTAGGTATTTACATGGTTGAGCTTGCTTGAATTTCGAGTGGAGCTTAAATGGAGAAATATGGTTAGTGAATATTCATATAGGGGACTTAGGCGCAGCTGTTGTTTTGCTTGAATTTTGAGTATAATTCATGTGGATCCCGATGTCCGAAACTAGTTGGATTTGTCTAGCTAAAGCTGTAAAAGGACACATTTCGCTCTTTTCTGACTGAGGTTGATTCCTTTTTTGTTTTTTGTAAGTGTTTAGAGGTTGAGTCCATTTGCCTCAGACTGCTTCATTTTGGTTATAGCTAATAACTTGCCATACCTTATAGAGTGAAAAATTCCTTTTAGAAGAGAGAGAATATCAGCAAAAATAACTCTTGTCGAATTTGATATCGGATAGGCTAAGCTAGGTATAGCCCATTGTCTATATGGTTTTGCTTACATTTGTCATGGCGGGGTGACTATTGTTATCGCAGGGGGTTATTGGACAAATAGATGATGCCAAAAAAAGTTGTTTATAGAGAAAGTTCATTGTCTCGTAATTATTTCAAGTTGACGCTAAATTACACCTTCCCTCTCTTTTTCCCATAAGAACACAATATTATATTTTAGATCCAAGATAGATCATCTAAATTTCAATTTTTATGGCAAATTTTACATGGTTTTTCTGGTCATCTAAAGAAGTCTTACAGTGTTCTGTTCAAAGTTGAAGAGTTCCCCAGAATAATTTCTAGAACTTCCAATTCAAGAATCCATCCAAGTCTTTATATCATGAAAACTAATTCTGTATCGTCATTGAACTGTTACAGGCAGCTGGTGCGGTTGCTGGTGCAGTAGCAATATTGGAGGTTATTCCTACGCAGTACAAGCACATGCTTGGTGGGCCTTCCTTGAAAGTTGACTTGCACAATGGAGCCATTGCTGAGGGCATCTTGACTTTCGTAATGACCTTTCTGGTCTTTATCATTGTACTGAAGGGTCCTAAAAGTGCACTTCTAAAGAATTGGTTACTTGCAATGTCAACTGTTACCATGGTAGTTGCAGGTTCAAAATACACTGGACCTTCTATGAATCCAGCCAATGTAAGTACTAGCTCTTTTTGCTGTTCTTAGATCTTGGAGCTTAATATATAGTTCAACCACTTAAATTCATTTGATTTTTCCATATTATACTCAAGTTTTTGATTTGCTTTGTTAGCTGAATAACACATCATTGTAGCATCTATATTTGGGTGAACTTTCGTTATCTTAACACTGAGGATGTGGTTTATACCTACAAATGGGATAATTTGTGGAGATTTACTCCATTGGATTTAGTAATGGTTTCCTTATACTTTGGTTAGAAAGTGTTGCAAGATTCTTCAAAATAAATTCTTTTTGCATAGTAGTGAAGGAACTTTCTATCCTCTTCACGTGTATCTCCCCCTATTTGGTTGAATAACCTTCAACTATAGCAGAAAGTTTTGTCTTTAAGATGCAATCTTTTAACTTAGCTATAATGTAACTTGCTCTTTCCATTATGCTCATCTTTCTTAATTGCAGTAATTCTTAGTCTTACAAAGAGAGGCTTAACCTGACCAGTCGTATGAAAAGATAAATTCTTTTACATCGACAAGAATGACTTCTTTGGTTGTAGTTCCAAAACTACAACATATTAGGAATATATGCCGGTCAATCTGAACTATTTTAATTTATGGAACATTTTACCTATTTGAACCCTGATATTTGCCCTCATCTAATGGAATAAAATAACGACAGAAATTGACAAGACCCTGATATTTGCCTCATCTAATGGAATAAGATAACGACAAAATGGATATAGACAAACATTATATACCATCTGTCCTTAAATCTGAACTATGACATCTGTCAATCTGAGCAGATCATATTTCTTGGCTTTTACTTGTAAGAAAAAAAATCATATTTCTTGGCTGTACCTGCACTCTGAGTTGATGCTTCCTTTCATAGGTAGCTGTGTCACATGAATCGTAAATCTCCATTTGCATTAGTTCTAGTGGCTAACAAGTAACAACTAGTTACAGTCATATCTGCAGTTGCAAATCTCAAATGACACTTCTCTCTTAGGGTGTCAGATTGGAAATGAGTTCCATATCAAGAATCTAATTAAGATGATCAACCCAGCCAATCATATGTCCCTTTATTAGCTGTTAGTTTCCTTAAAGGGTACTTTATGCCTCACCTTCAACCTAACATAGTTCTCCTTGCATATAGTATTTTGCATATTAACTTGTGTAGCTTGACAACTAGTTGTAGGGGACTGAATTAGTAGAGATTGGCTTTCAGTAGGAGTGAGGTTTTTCTTTTCCTCAACAATAATCTCAAGTGAAAGAAAACACATAATAAATATCCTTTTGTTGTATTAATTTTGATACTCTAAACACGGTAACACTTGGTGAAATGCCGTCGCTTGTTAGTTTTTTTTTTTTTTTTTTAATTCCAACCAGCTCCTGATTCTATTCCCTCTGCCAAAAGATACATATGAAACGAGGACTAGACCTTGCCTTCTTGATTACAAAGAGGACCTGGTAAACAAGTCTATTCTATGAGCAAAACAGTGTTACATACAAGTGACAATAGAGCTGTTACCTCAAGGTGGATCAAAAGCTTGTTGGCTTAATTCCTTAATAAACAGACTGCTATCCATATTCGTAGTAAATTTAGTTTCACAGAGGGTATAATCATACCCAATTCTGAAACTTTTTGTGTAACTATATATCAAACGAGATATTGAGTTCTTAAAAAGGAATTCAAAGTGTATCAAATAGTTTGGGGTATCCCAAAACTGAGACTATTTCTTGTGAAGTCCTAGGATAGTGATATTTTCTTATTGAACGAATGCCTATATAAACACTGCTGTAGCAATGTATCTGTTTCCTTTTTTGCCTGCATGAGTTCTTAATGGGTTCATAAGTGAGCTGATTATCTGCTATACATTTGCAGGCATTTGGTTGGGCGTACATAAACAACATGCACAACACATGGGAGCAGTTTTACGTCTACTGGATCTGCCCCTTTGTAGGAGCAATATTGGCTGCATGGACTTTTCGTGCTGTCTTTCCAGCTCCAGCGAAGAAGAAGAAGCCCCAGAAGAAAAAGCGAAATTGAGATAGACTCTTCTGCTTCAGTTACTTCATTAATCTAGGTTTCGATGTGGTTGAAGTAACCCGATAAAGTTGAAAACAATTCTTAAGTTCAAATACAGAATCATGACAGATTCCCTTAACATTTGTTGGAATTGTTAATAAACCCCCTTTCAACATTGATCCAAATTCAACCAACTATTAGTGCAAAAAACTTAGTTGTCCAAAGTTGGATGCCCTTGAATATGTTCTTATATGGTTCTTTAGATGCCCTCTTTCTGCTGTTTTGAGTTGTGCTTGTGAATTGAATTGGGTGATTCTTTCTATAGTACTTGCATATTTTATCAAGTCTAACAATGATCATGTGATCTGGCCTTTTGGCCTTGGACTAAAGTTCAGTTTGGAACAATTTATCCAAAATTATCATTAAGGTGGCAAAAAAATGATTTGTTATACACATATCACCAAGGTTTTGGAATGCATACTCAATTGTTTTACCAAATACTACTCTAATTTCACAAGTGGGGTTTGGAGAGAGTAGAGTGTACACATACCTTATCCCACCTTGAGAGGTAAAGAAGTTGTTTTCGGATGAACTTACTCCTACCTTGAGAGGTAGAGAAGTTGTTCTCGGATGAACTTACTCCTACCTTGAGAGGTAGAGAAAGTTGTTTTCGATACTCTTGGTTCAATCAAAGACCTCTCAAGTTGTTTTTGATAGATTCTTGGTTCAATCAAAGTTCACAACTTCCTATTTAACATCATGTTCTCGATAAGCTGCAATTGCATCACGAGTGAAAAATATTTTTTTTGAAATATACATTAAATTAATAATAATATTAACAAATCAAAATAGTGTTTCATTGAAAAAAAAGTATAAATAATTTAATTAATAATATTTAAGTGTTAATTGGAGCAAGTTATATAAATTTTAAAAAAATATTAAAAAAATGACTTTCTACCTCCTATTTTACCAAACACGCCCCTAATTTCTTCATCTCTCTCTTCGGATCTCCTTCATCTTCGTCGATTTCCCCTGTATTTAACTGAGTACTTTCACTATCACTGGAATGGTGTTTTAATCTCAATTTCTGTTCCGGAAGTAAGAATTTTGTTTTGCAATCATGTCAGGTACGATATTCAATTAATTTTCGACAATTTTCCAATATTTTTTTGATGCATTGAAACCGATCAAATTTGTTGAATTTAGGGCAAAATGAATCGAGGATCCGACCCAGCGGCAGGGCAGCAGTAGTGGTTCTCGGCGATATTGGACGTAGCCCTCGTATGCAATATCATGCTCTTTCCCTTGCTCGTCAGGTACCCCAATCCATGAATTTTATTATTTTTTAATATTATTGCACAGGGTGTAGGGGATTAGAAGTTGGAGAATCGAACCCTCACTAATAAGGTGAAAGTTCAGATTTTATTTTATATTATTACATATGGGGTAGGGGAAGGGGAAATGGGGGAGGGGATTACAAGGTGGGAATGAACACTTATGAACAAGGTGAAAGTTCAGGTAGCCAACCATCTTAGCTACTGAGTTTCCCAGAATTCTTGAATTGAAGGAAGTGGATGCACCTTTTAATATATACACACACACACTTCTACCTTTTTTCTTATTTTGTATTTGAGTCAGAATTTGAGATAGTGGTGGAGCATATGCAGATGATCCATCCAAATTAGTGCATTTTTACATATTTTGGAGGTTCTGTTATGAATAATCTGGGTATAAGTTTGAGTACTAATCTCTGAACTTGAGGTTAATAGTTTCTGGCTGGTTGCTAGGTTCATGGTGTAGTTAGTATGTAGGAACAACATTTTTAGATTAAAGAAAAATTGTCAGATTCTGCTGTTGTGATTGGTCTTAAAAGGACTATCTTTGACATTCTAGTCTAGAACAGTCATTCGTGAGAATTGTAAAAATCTTCTGTGTTGACTGATGCTTTTTGTTTCAGACTTCCACTCTTATTTATTTGAAGACTTCAATTATGCTGTTGTATATGTTTCCATTAGTTACTAATGTTATTTAGTATGATGGATGCATGTTTGTTATTGTAAGAGAGAATAGTAATATATCTTTTCTGTTTTAAGTGATGATGAGAAAACCATTTTTATGTTTCAAAATTAGTGGTTGATACACTTCATTGATCCAGGCCCTTTATATTCTTATGTTTATCCTTATGCCTTATGCAGGCTCATCTAGAGGTCGACATTGTTGCATATGGAGGTAAGTATCATGTAACAACCCATGATAAGCATTGTTTCATAAAGAATGCTTTTAGTTGCGTATGTCCGAATTATTGATAAGCATTGAATATATGAATGTTTGTCTAATGTCCGAACCACGTTTCACCTCTAGTCTAGGAAGAAAAAAAGACTTTCTGTTTACGTTTCAATTTTAAAAATGAAATTAAAAGAGCATGATACAAAAATATGGTGTCAATTTTTAGATACAGGAAAAATTTGTCAACAAAGTTGAAATAACATAACATGGATTTTAAATCTGTTTGTGGAATATGGTTGAATGAAGCAGAATAAGATGATGATGAAGGCTAAGGGGATACAACTCAGGCACTTGGGGGTGGGCAAATGGGGTGAGCACATGGACAAAGATAGACAATGGTTGGGAGTTTGTAGGCAGTGCGGTGGGCGTGGAATGGAGGCAGAGGTTGTGTGCTTCTGTGCTGTTAGTTAAGGGCTTAAGGATGGAAGTGGAGGGAGGCACACTTTGGGTGGGAGAGGTTGAGTAATTAGTTCATACTCTATTTTGGTTGAAGCCTTCCTGTGAGAATCCACAATTGTTAACTCCCCCACATATCCTTCCCCCCTGTCGGGCAAACACACCCCCAAGTCAGAAGATTTTCAAGAAAAAAAGGGGAGCCTGGTGCACGAAGCATCTCACATTCACGTAGGATATGGGGAAGTAAAGAAGCACTATTAGAGGCTTTATTAGATAAGATGAATGAGTTTTCATTTTTTCTTCCATATCACTTCCTAAATATTGTAACATCACTGGCTCTACCGTTCCATTTTTCTTCAGATATACTATTATTCTATCATTGGCATGTAGAACAGTTTGAAACTACGTGAAACTTAAATTCCAGACATTGTGCATAATTACACAAAATTTTGTACCACTTGGCATAAGTGCTTGGTTTAATAATCCCGTCCAAACATTATAATTTTTCTTTTGGCTTTATCCTGCCTGGTCATTCTGATTTTTAGTTCTTAATTTTGAGTAGGTTCGGACCCTCATTCTGCTGTAAAAGAGCATAAATCTATTCACATCAATGAAATGGTAATAACTGGATGATCTAGTTGTCTTTCTGGAGTGAAAAGCTCAAAGACATCCTCTTCGGTTGTGTCTGTGTGATTTGACTTTGAGTATTTTGGCATCATGCAGACACAGTGGCCATCAAACCCCAGAAGTTTTCCAAAGATACTCCATCCTTTATTGCTCATACTTAAGCCACTGGTCCAGTTTTTTATGCTTCTATGGTATCTCTGTGTTAAAATTCCGAAGCCGGATGTTTTCATAGTTCAGGTGAGCTATTAGCTACTTTTACATATCTGCTTACAACTTAGTGATAAGTGCTGGTCATGTGGCCATATATATTAACATCTAGTGTCTTTTATGTTTAAAAATACAAAGAAAGAATAACTAAAGAGAATCATGAATAGGCTGGAGTTCGAAATTGTTACTATTACTCGGAGAGTTCTGTGTGCATGTATGCACGTGTTCTTGAAACAAAATATTGGATTAGGAAACAATCTCCTCATACCAACCTTGACGCATACAGTTTTTGATTCACTATGGTGCTTCAGTTTTTGAAGTAAAAGCTACCAGTTAATTCTTTTATGTATTTGACTTGCCATAAATCCATGCATGTATATCTCTCAGTAATTTCTTTATTTGAGTTTTCAGTTAGTAATTTCAAATTTTCCATACGACATTTCGCTAGTGAGCATGTCTTTCTACTTATTTTTGTTTTGATTTATAAGTGTATTTGATATTTTGAGAGCCAGCATAAAGACAGGCCTTGTTTTTCTCCTCAAAATTAACCAGAACCTGTGCCAACTCTGAGGTTGCTTTCTCATTGGTGCTTGAACTGCTGGTTCTTCCATATTTTTCTAAATGCTTTATCTAGTGGGTGCTGAACCTGGATTTTGGTTATGATCCACCCAAGTTCTTGAGGAATGTCCAATTAGGGCATCCTCACTAGCGCTGTTTAGTTATTTGGGATCAGAACTCCCACTAGAGAAGATGGGAATTGAGTTATGATTGATGCAAGTCGTGCATCCGATTTGGCATGCTTGAGCTTTAATTATATCAACTAATGATAGCATTACTCCTTTGCCAGAATCCACCATCTGTTCCTACACTGGTTGCTGTAAAATTGGCCAGTTGGATTAGACGTTCTGCGTTCATTATAGATTGGCATAACTTTGGATATACTCTTCTAGCATTGTCTCTCGGGAGGAATAGTCGGTTTGTGGCGTTATATCATTGGTAATTTGTTCATCCTCGTAAGTTATAAACCTCCATTTGGGTTTAGCATCTGGTTTGTGAACTGTGCAAGTAAAACAAAATTTGGATATTTGGATAGGATTGAGAAGCATTTTGGGAAAATGGCTAATGGTTCCTTATGTGTGACAAAGGCAATGCAACATGAATTGGCTCAAAACTGGGGAATCAGGTAGGCCATTGAGCTACTTGGAATATCTAACAATCTGATTTTCTTTGTTTACTGACTTGTGCATCATTGCTTTCTGGATTCTCAGTGCCACTGTTCTATATGATCAACCTCCTGATTTTTTCCAACCTGCTTCCCTTGAGGAGAAGCACAAGGTGAATTATCTTGTCTACAACAAAGCTTCCCTAATATATTCAATACTTCATACTTCATAGTTTTAACCTTCAAGTGTCAATTGCAGTTGTTTTGTGGGATTGATAAGAGTCTGAGAACACCTTACAGCCTTCAAGACTGTCTTAGCAATGGTACGTACTACAATGAGAATTTCCATGTGATGAACTGTTTTAGATGAAGAATTGATATGAATCTGGCATATTTGCAGAGGTACTAACACCAGACGATGACAATCCTAATGTAACTCTATTTACAACTCAGACTGGCACAGATATTTCCTTGAAGTGGAACAGACCAGCGCTCATTGTAAGCAGTACAAGCTGGTAAGTTGTTTGTAAACTTAATTTAACATCCTATTGTGTTCTGGCACAGTGAACCTTACATTTTCTTTTATCACACAATTTATCCTCATATAACATAGCATAAACATTCTTCTTCGGTATCTTTTACCCTAATCTTCATCCGGGTTTACAAAATTCCAAACTTGATAGTGGTGATCTATAGTGTTAAGTTGTCCCACATCAGTTATGGGATGTGGAGTTGGTCTTCTTACATGGTCTTCGGCAATCCTCTCCTCATGAGCTAGTTTTTGGGTTGAGTTAGCCCAAGGTCCATTTCTTTAAATACTGCAAACTTAATCACTATCAGTTCAATGCTTGTGAATATCAAGAAATGATGGGCAAGATGATTGGCTAAAACAAAAATCAACAATGGAAGAGTTCTGTCTTTTATTTGCACCATGTGCTGAGAAAGTTCTATTTCTTATTTGAACCATGTGTTCATGCTCCTATTTCAAAATTCAAAGATGGTAAAACAGTTTTGTCTTCGGTGACAGCTACATGACATTAAAGTATTGGTTTTTAGGACTCCGGATGAAGATTTTAGCATTCTCTTAGAAGCAGCACTAATGTATGACAGAAGGGTTTCTGCATTGCTGAACGAGGATGACTTGAAGAGGGAGGATGTTTTCTGGCAGGAAATCAAGGGTGGGAAGCAATACCCTAGATTATTATTTATAATTACAGGTAACTGCTGCTCATGTGTCAAAGAGGGATTTTACTTCTTATTTTGGTAGACATAAGCTTTTCTTTACTTTGGGTTCTTTTGAAGGTAAAGGGCCTGAAAAGGAAAAATATGAACAAAAGATGGCAAAACTCAACCTTAAACGTGTTGCATTTCGTACTATGTGGTTGGAGCCAGAGGATTACCCATTGCTTCTTGGTATGAGCTACCGATCTGTTGTCATCTTCTTTTGTTCACCTTAAAATTGTCTCAAATCCTTTGTTCCCTTGTATAGGATCAGCAGATCTTGGTGTTTGCTTGCATACGTCCTCTTCAGGGTTGGATCTTCCAATGAAGGTTTTGTCTCTACATTCTTAAAGAGCACAAGTCATTTTTTTTCTCATGTATGTTCAGAACTTCTTAGTAGGCTTCATTCTTGTAAATTCCTTTTAGGTTGTGGATATGTTTGGCTGTGGATTACCGGTCTGTGCTGTTTCCTACTCTTGGTACGATGCATGTATTCCTCTTCATTTTCATTTCACATGGTCTTAAAAAATTACATACTATGAGAAGTTGCATGTTGACCCTTCTTCACTGCCCTTTATCAAGTATCAACGAGCTGGTCGAGGTTGACAAGAATGGCCTACTCTTCTCTTCATCCTCGGAACTGGCTGATCAATTTGTGGTAAACTCCTAAACTGACAGAAATGGACCTTTTATCTCCTCTTTTCTTTGTACTTTTTTGTTTGTTTTACATTGTAGATTTTATTAGATTCAGTAGTTCACAAGATATTGCCATAATAATCATTATCAAGTATCAATCCCCTCCAACGCTTTATGCTTCATACTTGCATGTCTGAACCTGTTATATACCTTATTCTAGCCATTAGCTATTCCTAGAGTCAACCAGTGAGCTTACTTCCTGAGAATATTCTATCTTATTTGCTTAACTGTGAAAACCTGGGCAGATGCTGTTTAAGGGATTCCCAGGTGAATGTGATGAGTTGAAGTCGCTGAGACAGGGAGTATTGGCAAGCAGATCTTCTGTTAATTGGGCAACAGAGTGGGAAGCAAACGCCAAACCTCTAATATCCAAGGCAAGTAGATTTCTTCACACATAAGACTCTTTTTCTAATTTGTTGCAAATGTCATTACTATTTAGATGGCATCTAAACACGCCATGCATTATGCAGGTTATTTTTGACAACTCGAGCTGATTTTGAAGCAAAGATTTCAGAACTCTGCTGTCAACTACCCCACAGATCTGAGGAATTTCGGAAATTATATGCTCATCTAGTGTCACACTGCAAGCCGAGGGTCCCTGCTACTCTCCCCCGCCCTTTCCCAGGCGCCACAGAGAAACCAATTTTTGCGGCTCTATTAGGATCATTAGTCAATAGTCACAGATTTCTGTTTTGGGTTTTGTATAACTGAAGTTGTACAGCTTTAGAAGTGGCCATAGCACTATTGAGGACTCACTTGCCTTTTACCTCTCTTAGTAGTTTAACAAAGTTATATAACATTGTGGGGTTGCTTTACGACGTTCCCAGAATACATTGTGTGTGTTGTTCGAACCAAAAAAAGGAGAAAAATAACAGATTTTGAACACTTGCACATAAGTGTTTGTATATCTAACAACTTTAGTCTTGTTGTTATCATTATAATGCCCAAATGAAAACAACATAATATATCTTAGACTCGATTATTCAAAAAGAAACTAGACATGCAGGGGTGTGATCCATGGTTGAGAATCCTGAGGTCTCAGAGTTTTAGGAGACAAAAACCATTTATAGGTATTAGCAGCGACTTATGTTGCCACTAAAAGTCGACTATTATAGCTATTTGCAGTGACTAAGGTTACCACTAAAACACACTTTAGTGGCGACTGCGATAGGTATTCGTAGCGATTAATTTTGCCACAAAAACACATTTTAGTGGCGACTATGATAGGTATTCGTAGCGACTAATGTTGCAACTAAAACAAACTTTTAGTGGCGACTATTATAGATAATAGCGGCGACTAATTTTGCCACTAAAACATTCTTTTACTGGCGACTATTAGACTATATTATAGGTATTAGTAGCGACCAATTTTGTCACTAAAACATACTTTTAGTGGCGTCTATTATAGGTATTAATAGCGACTTATGTTGCCACGAAAACTAACTTTTAGAGGCGACTTTTATAGGTAGTAGCGGCGACTAGTGTTGCCACTAAAACATACTTTTAGTGGCGATTTTTATAAGTATTAGCGGCGACTAATTTTGTCACTAAAACATACTTTTAGTATCGACTATTTTAAATATTAGCGGCGACTAATTTATACTTTTAGTGGTGACTATTGTAAGTATTTCGGCGACTATTTTTGCCAGTAATACAGTTTTAGTGGCGATAATTATAGGTTTTAGTAGCGACTAATGTTGCCACTAAAACACACTTTTAGTGGCGACAATCATATATATTAGTAGCGACTTATCTTGCCACTAAAACGTACTTTTAGTGGCGACTTTTATTGATATTAGTGGCGACTAATTTTGCCACTAAAACATACTTTTAGTAGCGACTATTATAGTTATAATTTTGCCACCAAAACATACTTTTAGTGGCGACTATTATAGGTATAGCGGCGACTAATTTTGCCACTGAAACACACTATTAGTAGCAACCAACTTTGGCACTAAAACATTCTTTTAGTGGCGACTATTATAGGTATTAGAGCCAATTAATCTTGTCGCTAAAACAAACTATTGGTGGCGACTATTATAAGTATTCGCAACTACTAAGTAGTGACTTTTTCGTAATGTTGCGACTTTTAAGAAGGATAAAATAAATAAGAATCCTGATTTGTGACGACGGCGCATAGGCAGGTCTTGTAAACAAGCGCAATATTTATGAAGAGCGGCAAGAGTGGTAACAAAATGAACAGACGAAGCAGTTGTTGAAGGCTGAAACTGCGTTCCTACTGTAGAGGGAAGGGTAGTTTTGAAAATAAATTAAAAGGAAATTCTGGTTTGTGATGGCGCAACGTAGGCAAGCCTAAGGTTCTCTTATATATATATATATATATATTAGTAAAATTACTCGCGCGAAAATTTAACAATACGAAATTTATAAAATAATATTTAAAACTTATCGATCATTTAAACTAAGATGATAATTATAACATTTTATCATTTATCCTTCAATCAATTATTTTTAATTTGAATTTTATAATTTATCATTTTGCTTCCAGGAAGTGTTACTATTTGATATTTTTGAGGAATCAAATGAACATCAACCGAAAATATTAAATATTCTAATAAATAAATAACCGTTGGTGAAGGGATAAATAAATTGTAAAAGGCTAGAAAAAGTGATGAAGTTCAATTTGAAACTACATTTCTATTCCAATCAGTGTCAAAAACACATCTATTACTTCAAGAAAATTATTTATAACTTGCAGTAAACTTGAGAAATATGTTCATACTTCATATTGAATATGATCAATTAATTTATTGTATAGTTATCTATGTCTTTGAGATAAAAATAGGTTGTAGTCTAGTCATATTCCTCTATAGGTTATCCGGCACATCCTTGAACTTATGTCAAAAGTTTATTAATTCTTGTCTTCTTTTCCTGGTTCACTTCGCACATCAAGGTGCGATAAAGTTTTTAAGATCTTTATGTGCTTGCAATGACATACCAAATTTGAATTTTGTCTTCAAGATATGATAGTAAAAATCTTTAAGGAATTTTTTTACTCTATTTTCAATAATTTTAGTAGAGAAAACTTGCATGAATACTCAATTAACTTGTACTATTTAATCTGTACTAACAAATACTTATAACAATAACTTTGCAAAAATATAAACAACAAAGTTTAAAAGATATACTCAAAAACAACAATTAATAAAATAAGTATAAATTAATTACTGTAAAAAAAATATCAGGATAGAATGAAACAAAAAGGAAAAAATCGAGTCCACTAAATGTATAGTGTACCCTTAAAAAAATTATTCTCCTCTATTACCCGAGGTTTAAAGGAATAGATTCTCTCATGATAGGGCGATTCTATTCACCAGTGTATTGATACAAAAAACAACGGTGAAGTGAGTCACTCAACATGAGCAAAGTACACGAATATTTAATTGTGTAAAAGATGAAAAATAAGTAGTTTAGAATTTTCGTTGTTTTAAAATGAGAGGAAAATCTCTCTATTTATAGACAACAACGAGTAATGTGAACAAATATTTATTGTGCCTTATCAGAAATGTCACAACTCTTTCGAAAAGGTCACAACCTTTCATAAAGGTCACAACTCTTCATAAAAGTCACAACTCTTCAAAAAAATCACAATTTTTAATGAAATGAGAAGGTTAGTTTTGGAAATAAATAAATTAAAAGAGAATTTTGAATTCTGGTGGCGCCACATAGGTGGGGGCCTAGGGTTCTCTTTTATATAATATATATATATAAAATATATATGATATGATTGAACAAATAGACACATGTGTCCTACGTAGAATATATGTGTCTATACTTGTTCAATTTTATATAAATTTAAGTGTTTAGTTGCACACATTCAAATATTAACTGAATCAAGTTAGAAGGGTATGTTTATAAATAAAAAATAAATAAAGAGAACTCCAAATGATTGAGTAATTGAATGACATCTCTAAAAGAAGTAGGAATAAACATAATTATACTTTTTGTAAAGATTAAGCCACCAAAAAAAAATTCTATGAACTTTGGCTGCTCTGTTTGGTAGGGTCTAGGAATTATACAAGATTCTCCTTAAATAGAAAACTTAGTAATTTTAGCACGTGGTTAGGCAAGAATGAAACCAAACCCTCACATAAATTTGTCACCGCCGCCTGAATATTCAGCTTAAGATCCACTGCTGTTTCTGGAAGCTGTAATTAGTCAGTACTCAGTTCTAACACTTTTTCATTTTCTGCAAATAATTTTTCAATTCTTATCCCTTTAGTCCTTTTTCACAACCCCATTTGTTGTATTTTGGTAACTGATAAAAAAAATCCATTCAAAATTCTTCTTCTTTCTGTGCTACTTGTCAATTGCCAGCAAGAACTCATTTTTACACTGATAAGTAAGAGACTTTAAGGTATCTTGAAAAAAGAATATTTGGGTATATCAAATTTGAAAATGCTTGTTTCACAGCAATTCAAGATTCAATTTTTCAGCCACCCTAGTTCTCATACTAAGTTTCTAGCTCATGGTAAAAGCTTAAAAGTTCCAACCATTAAGCAAGGACTCTTTAATCCCACTATAGGTCATAATCTATGTGTAAAGCACAAATCTTTAGCTGTTTCTTTGAATGTGGATGAACCTAGAAGTTGCAATCTTGAAGAAAAGATTGAAGTGGTTCAAGAAAAAAGCTTTTGGGGTGCTGTGGGGTTGATTGTAGGTACTGCTGTAGGGCCAGGAATGTTGGGATTACCTGCAGCAACTGTAAAATCTGGTCCAATTCCATCAACCATATCTCTTTTGTTGACTTGGGTTTATGTTATTTCCTCTATCATTCTTGTGGCAGAGCTTAGTTTTGCAGCTATGGAGGAAGATGGGGTTGATGAAGTTAGCTTTACTAGTCTTGCAACCAAGGCATTAGGAAGCAAACTTGGGTCATTTGTTGCTTTGATTTATGGTTCACTAACTTTTGCTTTGTTGGTAGCCTGTGTTTCAGGTATTGGTTCAATTATTTCTCAGTGGTTTCCCAAGATTAATCATGTTCTTGCTAATGGGCTGTTTCCATCACTAGTTGGGATAGTTCTCTGTTTGTTACCTTTTAAGGTTATTGATGTAGCCAATAGGTGCCTATGCATTACTATGCTTTTCTCCATTACAGCATTAGTGGTTATTGGAATATTTGTTGGGAGAATCAGTATTCTTGATTCTTTTGGATTTGCTTCTTGGAGATTTTCATCAGTTTTGCCTGCTATTCCTGTGGCTGTGCTTACAATGGGGTTCCATGTAATCACACCTTTCATTTGTAAAATTGCTGGAAACACTGTACATGATGCTAGAAAAGCAATAATTGTAGGTGGGACTATTCCTTTAGTCATGGTAGTATCATGGAATTTGATTGTTTTGGGACTATCTAGTCAGAATGCTTCATCTATCTCAAGCGATCCGATCTCACTCTTGCTCTCTGTCAATTCCTCTGCTCTACCAGCAGTTCAAGGTTTTGCATTTTCAGCACTAGCCACTAGTTTGATAGGATATGCTGTTAGCTTTCCGAAACAGGTTGTTGATACCTTGGATTTGATCTTTAGTAGTTCCAGTTCCAGTCCCAGTCCCAGCCCTTCTAGAGGAGTAGTAGGCAAAGTTGGTTCAGCCACATTTAAGTTGAGGCAAAATCTTGGAAATGCAGGGAAAGTTTCTTATAGCGGAATCAAGAATGCTAATGCTTCAGAAAATAGAGTGAACTCTGGTTTTGAATCTTTACAAAGCCTTGTGATTCCTTTTGTTCTAGCTTTGCCAGTTCTCATTGGCTCTTTCTTTCCCTCTACATTTTCAAGAGCTCTTGATTTTGCTGGGATTTACGCCAACTGCTTTCTGTTTGGCATCCTTCCTCCGGTGATGACGTACATTTATCAGTCCAGGAGAAAACTCAGGTATGCCAATAGTACCACTAGTAAATATAGAAAGAAACTTATGCTATAGAAATAAGAAACCAATTATGATGATGTCTAATAAACTGCAAAATAATAGCAGGAAATTCTACTAACATTTTTATCTGGTGTTAATTTTTCGACAGGTCAGGCGTCTTGCCAGGAGGAGATGGCGCGCTGCTACTACTTTTAGTCATTGCTGTTATTCTAGCCATTTGGCATTAGACATTGTACTTCTCTGCTAGACTTGCATCATTGATATGCATGCAATTTTCCTGATTCTTGATGGTTCAATGGAGAATACCAAGAAAATTTAAAAGAGTTGAATCAAGAAAGCCTTATAGTTCTCATTCTTTCTTGTATACCTAATGCTGAATCATGGTGGTTACATTGGGTTGACCATTATGTTAGTTTGCCCTAGTAAGGCAACATATTTGAGCTAGCTAAGCATGTCTAACGAGGAGACGACCCAGTATATCACGTGTGTGTGAACAGTGTGAAGTATAGACAAATTGTGGCTTTGTAAGTATGGAGGTTACCCTGACACGTGTTAAGTCTCCCACATCGGTGGTGGATGGGATCCTTTGGTCTCCTTATATGGAGTTAGGTCCAGGTGACATATCTATCAACATGAACTTAGTAAACAATAACACATGAGGTATGATCTTACAATGTCTTCTTTTTTCTAATCAAACTGTAAATGGACAGAAGAGATCATTTCCTTTTGTTCTTCACACATTTCTAGAGGATAATAAAAATATCAGCAAAACTTGTTCATGAATCATACTAAACTGAAGGGTTAAGAAGCCCAAATGAATTAGTAAATGGAATTTGATACATTCAAATAAATTCTACATTAAAATCCATCCTTAAATCCCTGCAAATACCTTGAAACAACAAATTTTCATATATGTAAGTAATGCAACTTATAAATCACATTTGTGTTGCTTCTGTTACCCATGTTGCTCGGACACTTCAAAAATATCGACAGTTACATGCCTAATCCTCCAAAAGTAGTTCATTTTTGAAGGATCCGACAACATTTCTGGAGACTCCGAGCAACATATCTGTTACAATTTTTTCTATACAATAGTAACTCATTCTGTATTTTGTGTATACCTATAAAATGCAGTGAAGGAAGAGTGTGTATATATGTATGTTCTTCTCTCCTTCTAATCTTCAACTGCAAATAATTTCCAAAAACAACAAACAAATAGTACTTTAGTCCTATGCTAGCTTGAAGCCCTCTTTTTAACTTTCATGTCAGTTATCTTCTATAAAAACTTTGAATATGTAATCACGAAAACGCCTTGAGTATGCCTTTGGATCAACTGCTGATATTGAGTTTGGATCACATTGCATAGACTTGTATGCGTGCTCTAGCTTCTTTGTAATGTCATAGTCTTGAAGTATGTCTATGACCCCGAAAAACAGTATCACATCATACAACTCTCCTGTTGGATCTCCGATTAGCTGAGTTTCCGCTTCAGTAGCTTTCCTCTCTGTCCTTTCAACTCTTGCAGGCATGTTTATTCCTAGTTTTATGCTAGCCCACCTGCAATTTTTTACACAGAGATCAAGAAACGACGTATAAATAGTTAGTTCAGTGACTTTACTGTTACAAAGAGCAAGTCTAGTGCCTGGTGCATAGTACATATAGTTCATGTAACTAGATGATTATCAGGGGATTGAAAACTTACCCTTCCTGATCAAGAAGCAATTGATCCATATCAGCTCGAGAGACACGAGCAAATGTTTCATTTTCCGAGCCTCCATTATCTGCAACAAGTTGAAACACATGAAGGTAAGACAAACAAATTGAAATGGAGGAATTGTTGTTATGATTCAAATGAAGTTAGAACCAACCAATAGGTGTTCCAGAACCAGAAGATGTCTGATCTTCAGTACTATCTGCTTCTCTAAAATGGATACCAACTAAAAGGCTATAGTCCATCACTCCCTCTTGTTCCATGAACTCACAATCCCTATCAACTTGCCTGCAGAATGTCGCGAAAATCATTTACTGACATTTGTTTTGCACTTGAAATGAAACGTTGAGTCTCAAATGTCAGAGGATAGTTACATTATTCGACATGAAAGTTCCAAAGCAAAATTTTTACCTTCGGAATTCTTGAAACCATGTCTTTTGTAACCTGAAAATGAAGTTGAGATCAAGGTCTTTAAGGGTTGTTGTTGCTTCAATCTCGGATTCTGGTTTATCTGTCATTCTTCCAAATGTTGATCCTTTCAAGTCGAATCGTCTATGAATTGAGTAATTTGTACAAAAGAGGTTCCCCATGATAACGAATCGTACCTAAAACCATTCATGAATATATTAAAGTTGTTCACATTGAACTTCCACAGTTAAACCTCTCTATAACAGTCATCCTCTGTAACAACATGTCACTATAATCACCAAGTTTTCTTTAAAGCCGTTTTTCATATAACAGCAATTCACTATAGCAGCCAAAAAATATTCAGAGAAATGACGTTGTTATAGAGAGATTTGACTGTATTAGACTTCTGTTATGGTACTTTATGTCTGATACCTTCTTCTGTGCTGGTCCACTTAGCTTCACACAATGCAGGCCATAGTACTTAGTCACAAGGGTGTTCTCAAAAGCTCGAACATGATTGAAATACGCGCTAAGCATCCTTAATAGCACCTAACAAATCCATTGGCAAGTAAAATCAGAAGGGGAAGTACTGATCTTTGCAGAAAAAAATTGCAGTTATTTAGAGACTTACTTTTGTTTCTGCCTTCTTCATTGTCTTGATCATATATCGATCATCGTTTGTCAAGTAGAAAAAACTTCCACTTTTTCCAGGGGAACAAAGCTCCCTGAGGGCATCATTACCACAAATCGATATCATATAATCAGCTGCATCCACTTTGAATAGCATCCGTAATGCCCTGAGGAACATCACAATCGATGATCACTAGTTTCAACGTGTTCTAAAGTCATCATTTTCAACAAGTAATAGAAATGAAGCCTTACCTGAAAACTTTCGGACAATAATCTTTCCATCTGAATTCACAAGACGGATGAGGAGGCGTGATCTTGGATCCTTCTGTTGGAAATCTAGTCCAATACTTCTCTCGAGGATCAAACGCTGATGGCTTGAGATCTAGTGATGGTGGAGGACCAGGCCGTCCCACTGATACCCTATCGATAATTTACACAAGAAAAATCACAACTTTGATCTTTGAAAATGCACAATGAACACAAGTAACTTGTACATTTACTAATATAATTAGACGAAAAACGAGTTAAATTTACTACCTGATTCCCAACTGCAAATTAAGCATAAGCTCATAATTCTTATGTCCTTTGGAAATAGTTTGGCCTTGTCTCTTAACAACTTTAGGAATTCTTATAGGACTACCTCTTAAACATCCATCAGGATCCTGCAAGCCAACGATGGAATCGTCCAAATAATAAGAAGTACTAGCAGAAGTTCCTCCAACATCAGATAAACGAATTCTACCAAACTCCCTATCAACAGGAGGTGCATCTATTCTCCCGTCCAACGACATTCTCCTAGGCTTAATGTTGCTGTCAACAGCCTTAGATGACCTCCATAACGCGAGTTTCTTCTGTGAAGGCAAAATAGGAACTTTCTCAGGTGGACAGATAGTACATTCAACCAAATCGACGTTGAAAACTTGTTGAGGATCCCATTCAAGATTACCAGTTTGTAACAATGAAGTGGATGGATAAAATGTACCATTCTGTTCATTTGGATCTTTACTCCAATTTCCAACATAAAAACTTCCATCAGTCCATTTGAAAGTACCATTTCCTTTAGGAAATCCATCTTCCCAATTCCCTTCATAAACATTTCCATTAGTCCAATACATTTTGCCTTTACCAAAAATAGTTCCATTTTTCCATTCACCAACATAATAATTCCCATTTTTCCAATTATACCTCCCCTGTCCTTCTTGTAATCCCCTACACCATTCACCATCATAACAATCTCCGTTAACGTACTCCTTAACCCCATGTCCATGTTTCAAATTCATGATCCAACAACCCCTATAGGTATCACCATTAGGCCCCGTATAGGTACCATCTCCATCCATAAATCCAGTCTTGAAATTTCCCTCGTACATTGCACCAGAGGGCCAACTAAAGATACCTTTGCCCATAGTTTTGCCACGAAACCAATCTCCAACGTACATACATCCATCGGTCCACCAATATTTACCTTGTCCATGAGGGAAATTGTCAAGCCAATAACCACTATAGTAATCACCATTTGGGAGAAACCTCTCAGCATGGAAGATTTCACCGTTCGCGTAAATGTGATCGTCCTGTTCCTCATTTTCTTCCTCTGTTGTTGGTGATGATGAACCTTGTGTACAAAATATCGTGTTAGCACGTTTCCTTGTTGCAGCTTGTGTTATCCTTATAGTTGCCTCCCACGCCCTCATGTCTATATATATATCTCACTTTTCAATTTCTTCTTGATCTTCACATTTTTTTCTGTCTGATCAATTAAAAACTAATGATTTGATCTGTTTTTTTTTTCATTGACAAAATGTTATATTGTTTATGATCATGCATGGACATGCAAATTAGATACAAAATTATTCTCTATTTGCTCCTATTTGTTAGCTCTCTTTCTATTTTCCTAGTTTTTGATGTAAGGAAGGAGACAACAACAAAATTAGAAATTACATTCACATTCTGTCCATATTTTGACCATTTTTGCCCAATCTTTTTTTTTTTTTTTTGCGTTGGGGGGTGGGGGTGGGGTGGGGGGGGGTTAATAATTATGATTCATGGAATATATATATATATATATATATATATAAAATACAATTTTTCTACTTGGGATAATAAGGACTTAAACATGTGAGAGTGCAGGTCAAAATGGGGCCTACTATAGTCTAATTCATTTGAAAATAATACTCCTATGCAATTGGAAGAACAATCAACTAGTGGATGGATTGAAAATATTTATATTATAATAAGCGGGATATGATGTCTCGAGTTCGAACTCTGAGTATGGAAAAAATTATGTTGTGAGTGTTATATCCATAATGAAGCATGTAATGCGTGATTCAGATATAGTTGGACTCCAATATGAACATCGAACACTAAGTGAAAATCCAAAAAAAAAAAAAGTTGAACATCATATATATGTATGTATGAAGATTTTTTTGGTATAAATTTTGGGTCAACAAAGGTTTATTTTTCTTTCATTTTTTGTATTATTTGGATGGTTCAGAGGGAAGACTTTTTCAGCTAAAATTAGCGTTAAAACAGCTAAGAAATTGAAGTTTTATGACATT